CCACCCCTCCGGTTGTCTTCTTTTTATTATACACGCTCGCTCGGATATTCGGCGCCACGCGCTCCGTCTCCACCGATCCGAAATGAACGTTACACGCGCTGTATTCGCGCGCACGACCCGCGAGGACCGCCCTCCCCGCGCGTTCATCTATATTAATGAAACTGCACACCGGATTTTTCGACGGGGCCGCTGTTCCCGGCACTCTTTGCCGGCGCGTTCGGTAAACAGTTACTCTAACCGTTGGATTTATCGGCGAGATCATCGCAGCCGATGCTCCGCGAGGAATCGGCCCCGTTCGGATATGCAATTGTTCTCGAGTCCCGTTTTAAGTGGTAACGCGTCTCGAATTGCGTAATCGTCGGGTAGATCGATTCGAGGCGCCGTAGTTGATTTTTCGTTTAATCGGATCGGATCTCGATCCTTTAGGAAGTTCGCCGGATTTTCGGGTATGGCGGGTTTTCAAAGTAGTGGGAGACGTTTCGACGAGATGGAGTTTTCGTATTTGAGAGACCAAGTGGCGAACAAATGATTTAATTACTCGAAGCACGTGATCGGCACGCAGCTTACTTCTTTTATATTAATTAAGCAACTGATGGGTAATTCAGCTTCTCATGCTGAAGCTTTTGCATATTTCGAAGAATCTTCGTCCGCAAAGGGTTAATTTCGATGGATATAAATGCTGTTTATCTAGCTTTGGAATGGAATGTTACTTGTTTATTGGTAATGTTTATTAGCAGTAAATGGTGGATAAGCGAATTCTTATATTTTCCTAGTGAATTATTAACGATAATGTTAGCACAGTCGTGAACATCGAACAAGGGGTTAATCATATAAATATTATTTAGTTACAAGCTACGGTATTTTATTTAGGAACTCAATAATTCAGTTTCACTCCAGCATTTCGTCTAGAATTATTATTTTTTTTATTCTAGAGATATTAATTATATTTATTGCAAAAATAGATATGAACATTGATAAGACTATTGAATAAAATAATTAAGTCGTCAGCGAAACAGACGCTGGTTAACATATTAATACAACTCCTAACAATGCTGCATCAAATCTGCAAAGGGGCCTACAAGTAAAATAGCTACCCAGCGATCAAAACCCTATCACGCGCGACAACTCCCGAGCAACCGAGATAACCAAGATGATCGCTAGGCACGAGTGAAACGAGCAGTTTCTCATTCGGCGAATCGTCGGGGATTGTCCACAGGCCGAACGGTCCCTCAGCGATGCAGCAGGTTCCGCAGCTGCGGAGTCACTTATCGTTAGACCAAACATTTGCCGAGCGGGCATTACCGCGAGTTCTCGTTAATAAAACACCGTCCGGATCTCGAAACACCGGCGAGGAGAGCGCCCACGCCGTGTGTAATCCCCGCAAAGAAAATTTTCGGAACTCCCGTGTGTACGCATATTCATTACTCACCGGCTAGGACACCAGCCATGTAGACCGCCGCGATCCTGAGGCTTCCGTGAACCATTTCCAGGGGAAGTCCCACGACCACCTGCACTCCCAGGTTAAACAGCAGGTGAAGCCACCTGAAATGCGAGCATAGGGTATATGTGTATATTCCGGTTGCTGGCCGCGGCGAACCCCCCCGGTTTTATTCAAATGAACGACGCGTGTGCGTGACAGCGAGAGAGCGGCCCGGCCGGCTCATTAAAGCC